GTCCTGGAACTCACAGAGATCCGCCTGCCTTTGCCTCCCGAGTGCTGGGATTAAAGGCGTACACCACCGCGCCCGGCCTTATTTTATTTATTTTTATTTTATATGTATGAGTGTATTGTCTGCATGTAAGTAAGTGCACCCACATCATGCAATGTCCCAAGAGTTAGAAAAAGGTATTGGATACCCTGGAACTTGAGTTAAGGATGGTGGTTAGTTACCTTGTGGGTGCTGGGACTCAAACCCGAGGCCTCTGCAAGAGCAGTCAGTGTTCTTAACTGCTGAGCCAGCTCTACAGCCCCCTATCATTTGTGTATGTGTGTGTGGGGGGGCACTGGAGATGTAACCCAAGGCCTTGTGCACTGAGCAAGTGTTCTACCACTGAGTTATCCCTTAAGCAGGTTTTTTTTTTTTTTTTTTTTTTTTTTTTTTTTGGTGATAGACAAGGACTGAAGAAAGAAGATACAGACTGTGATTTTCACTTTAATTGTTTTAAGATCAGCTGAGAAAAAGAAAAAGAAATTAGAATAGTACTCCTTAAGCGGGTTTTTTTTTTTTTTTTTTTTACATTTGGGGAGGGTTGTGTATGTCATGATATTCATACAAAGATCAGAGGACAGTTTGTGAGAGTTGGCTCTCTCCTCCATCATGGGCTCAAACTCAGGTGGTCAGGCTAGGCAACAAGTGCCTTTACCTGTTGAATCATCTCACTGGCCTGTGTTTGTGTTTTTATTTTGTCACATGAACATAGTATGTCAGAAACATAGACAAACAAGTTTGTGTCTTTCCATAATGTCAGAATGGATTGAATAATGATAAATTCACAAAGTACAGTTGTTTCAGTGGCAACAATTTGTCAGAAATTCCCACTTTCCTTGATAACCTTGGCTAAGGCAAACACGGGCTCTTTTACTCCATTTAGTTACTAACGCTAGCTCTCAGATCACACAGCTAATGTATCTAAATATGTATATATGTATGTGGGTTACAGAGTGACTACAAAGGATTACAGAGGCAAGGACATTCAGCCAAGAAGCCAAGGCCAGAAGCCAAGGCTGGGAAACAGGGATGCAGAGTCCCTGTATTGGTAAGACAGTGAACCTGAACCAGGACGATGCTACTGATGTGGATCAGACCAATGACATCACACATTTGAGAGGGAGCTGCAGTGCTGGGCCCAGCTGTAGAGGCAAAAGGGCAAGACTGAGTCCAGATGGAGGAACAGCAGATTGACGGCCGCCAGATCCAGATAGGCAGACAAGAGGACAGGCAGACGTGAGTAAGTCAGGCCATCAGTGGGCATTGGGCTGAGCTGAAGCTCCTGAGACAGCCAGGAGTTCTCTGCCTATTAATCCTTGATGCAAACACTGTGTGGTCAGATGACATGTCTGTCAGGGCCATCACCACTGTAGGGACCTCTTTATGGGGTCCAGGTGAGGGAGTTACACCTTTCCTTTGGTCTGGTGTGTCTGATAAGTTCTTGGGTCTGTTTTCCCTGAAATTATTTTAATATGCTCATGTGCCCCTACAGTTTCAATTCACCCAATAAATGAAGGGCAATAACTTTTTTACTTCTGGGAATAAGTCATTTATCAGTCTGGGCTTCGTAGGTGATGCCTGACCAATGGTGCTGTTCACATGTTCACCTGGGTACAGAGTCTTCCCTCATCCTTAAAAGCTGCTTGTAAAATAGAGTCTGTCAAGGCAAAGCACAGTCTGGAAAACCTGTTTTATTCGAAGTGGAGTAACTTCCAAAGGGCACATCCTGATCTCAACACTGCCCCAATGGAGATAAACCCAAAGGACACTGAAACAAACCCTTTAGGCCTAACCCACATCAGCTGCTCTTGTTCAGTCTCAATTGTCTTCTCCCACTCCAGAGCCCCAAATAGTCAATCCTTGGGAGGCAGATTTGAGATTTGCTCTCCCAACTCCACACATGGCTGCCTTGTGATTAAACTCTCTTGTGCAAAACTGTTGTTTCAGTGATTGGCATCCTGTGCAGTGAGCCCAGTTTAGTAACAGTGCCAGGCTACCAGAGGGACCACTTGTTCATGAGACTCTTGTCAGTGTATGGTTAATCTTCCTTGTCACCATGACTAAATTTGGAATTGCCTAGGAGACACATCTTGGGTGTATCTGTGAGGAGGGAAGACTCACCTGAATGTGGACGGCACTTTTCCATGGGCTGGGGTCCCAGACTGAACGAAAAGGGAAAAAACAAGCTGAGAACAGCATTCATCTCTCTCCTTCCTGAGGATACACTGTGACGGGCTGCTTAACATGCCTGCTGTCATGCATCAGCCTCCCCTCACGACAGACTGCAAGCCAGCATAAACTCTTCCTCCATTAAGCTGTTTTCTGTCAAGTGTCTGGTCCAGTGAAAAAAAAAATGAACTTACATTACTTCACTTGGAAATGGAGAGTTTCTCCTTGCTGACAGGGGCAAACTACTTGGTTTTTATGTTTGTTTATCTGTCTGGTTTTGGGTTTTTTTTTGGGTTGGTCGATTTTTTTTTTTTTTGAGGCAAGGTCTCACTTTGTAGTCCAGACTGGCCTCAAAATCTTCATCCTTCTGCTTCAGCAAGTATGCACCACTATGCCTGTTTCCCCTCACTTTCTTTCAGTGTCACTGATTTGTTGAAGTCAGGTCCTAAGTCCTATGAAGTTTCCCATACTGAAGATTCATGTAACTGCCTCCTCATGGTATTATTTAATATGTTCTATTCCTCTTATTTCCTATAAACTAATAATTATATTTAGAGGATGACTAGATTCAAGGTTACTATAACTATTACCTTGACAACAATACTACCAAGGTGGTGCTGTATATTTATCATGCCATAGCAGGAGGTGCAGTGACTGTTTCTGATCTTAAGGTAATATTAAGATTGACTGACATAAGCCAGGTGTGGTAGCCCACACCTGTACTCCCAGTAGTGGCTGAGGTGGAGAATTATGAATGTGAGGCCAGCTAGCAAGATGACAGAGAGCAGGAGGAGGTGGCGCTTGCCTTTAATCTCAGCACTCGGGAGGCAGAGACAGGCAGATCATTGTGAGATTGAGGCCCACATGGTATACATATCGAGTTCCAGGCCAACTGGGGCCTCAGGGAGACCCTGTCTCAAAAAGACTAATAATAAGAATGGAAGAGGGGGAGGAAAGGAATGGGGGCCACAAAGGAGGGGAAGAAGGAAGGAGGAAGGAAGGGAGGGAGAGAGAATCTGTTGCTTTGGAACAGTTGATAGTATAGCTGGATCCAGGGAGGGTCTCAGGCTCTCTACTGTCTCTGGGTTGGTTCTGTTTTCAGGTGGATTTGCTTCAGATGGAAGTAGGACTGCTGCCAGAAATCATAAACAATAGCTATTCCCCCCACCCCCCAGGAAAGGTTGAGACAGGATCTCAAGGCCCAGGGTGGCCTTGAATTCTCTAGGTAGCTGAGGATGATCTTGAACTTCTGAGCCTCCTGCCTCTGCCTCCAAGGTGCTGAGATCCTGGGCATGCACCCCCACAACTGGTTTTATGTGGTGCTGGGGATCAATCCCAGGGCTTTCTGCCTGCTAGGCAAGCACTTTGCCAGCTGAGCTGCATCCTCTGCCCCTTAAAGCTGTTACTCTCATCACTTCAGCTGGAGGCTGTACATCTCTGCCCTGTCACAGATCTTCATGCTCAATCCAGCCTGTCTTGAATAACTGCAGAACATTTCACTAAACATTGCTTCATTTGAGCCTCATTAGCTGTGAGGTGGGCACCCTTATTTGTCTCCTACTTACAGAAACTGAGGCTTAGAGATGTTAGGCCTTTTGTTCAAGATCACAAGCTGATCCATGTAGACAGGATTTGAGCCAGACCCTCACTGTTCCTTCGAACAACTTCTGAAAAGGTCTTGCTATGTAGCCCAGGCTGGCCTTGAATTCAGTCCTCTTGCCTCAGCCTCTTGATTACAGGTGCATATCAGCATACCCAGCTTCCTTGAGCTTTGCTGGGGTGGTCCTCCTCCAGACCCATGCCCCGTGCTTTTTCTCAGATCTCAGGACCAGCCCAAATCTTTGCTAAGTGATGGGATTGTAGGTGTGGGCCACCACATCAGGCTGTTAGTGCCTGTGGCTCTGTAGATAGGTTTCAGACTGTCCCTTGAAGTACATTAGGTACTCATTCCCCTATGAGGCAGATAAGGCTGTTTTAGAGAAGACTATTGTAGAGGGGAAACTGAGGCTGAGGTTAAAGGGATCTTCCCAAGGTCACTCGGGAGCGACAGCCAAGAGACACACAACATTGATTCTGGTGAAGGCCTTTCTCACCCTTTTGCTTCTGTGCCACCCACCACCCCCTACCCGAAGGATGGGAATGAACGCTGGTCCTCATGAGTGTGACATCAGGTTTCTGCCCGCGCTCCGCGGCCTTGAAACTGTGGCAGGTTCTGGTCTCCTCCTCCCGGACTGACAGCTGTACAGAGCTGAGGGCCTGATGCACCGGCCTTCTCAACCCCATGCAAAAACAGGTGCCTTGTAATGCCGAGCTATTTCACTTCTTCCTGTTTCAACCCTGTGAAGCGGAGGGCAAGGGTGTCCCGGATGAACCTGAACCCCTAGATAGAAGTGACTCCCAAGGCCACCCAGGAGTGCACTTAGGGGCAGCGACAAGAGCGGTCCCTCCCGGCAGCCGAGGCGCTCAAGCCTTCGGGGCTCCTCCTGCGCCAGAGAAAGGATCTCGAGGAGGCTGCGGGCAGCGGCAGCGATGAGGGAACGGGTATTTTTGTATTTTGACATTAAACGAGGAGCAGATTCGCGTCAGCTTCTGCTCGGGATGGGCTGGCAGCGCGGGGTTGGGCTGCGGGCAGAGCGGGGCGGGCGAACTCCGGTCCAGCACCGCGCCGCTGGGAGGAGCGCAGGGCCGGCCCTGCACGAGCTCCGCCCCCAAGGGGCGCTGCCACCCGAGGAGGCCGGCGCAGCGGCGCTTCCCATTCATTGTCTTGACAGAGCATCCTCCGCGGGCCAGTCTGCGGCTCCGCCAGCTCCTTCCTCCTCCTTTCCGTCCTCCTCCACTTGGGGGGTCACACTCAGCTCCCCGCAGCAGGTACGGCTGGGCCCCGGGCGGGCTGGCGTCCAGAGCCGGGCTGGCCTCCAGGGCTGGGTATCGCTGCCAGGGGCCACCTGTGGGGCCGGCGCGAGCGTGGGAGCACCGGGCTGCGGGGGCGGGCGAGTTGTCAGGGCCACCGGGCTGTGCTGGGGACCGAGAGCCGGACAGTGAACCTGGTCCAGAGAGCCCACTGCCCGAGGGCTGCGAGGGGCAAGCGGAGGATCCCAGAGTGTTCCAAGGTGAGGGCGAAGGACCATAGCGGCCAAGATGGAGGTGGGCGCGCTGGGCTCACGACCTGTCTCCTCAGTAAAGGAGTTTCTGGGCAGTGGGGGCCAGGGTGGGGTGAGTGGAGCAGCTGCCCTGAGCTTGGAGACAAGAAGGGGTTGAGTGCAAAAACAAGAAAAGACCAAGTTCCCCTTTCCGTGGTTTCCGGGCCTGGTACCTGGGTGGGGGAGGAGACCGGGTGGGGCACATCTTCCAGTCCCCACCCCCGGACTGGGGCTCCCTCTACCAAATCCAGGCCGCTTGCGGGGGGCTGAGGGCCCCCCCACCTTGGCTTGAAGACCTTCAGTCATGAACTTCACCTGCTCTCTGGGTAGACCTGGGAGCCCTCTTGGGGATGCCAGGGTGGATGAGGAGGGCTAGGATTCCAGGAAGGGGCTCGGCATCAAGGCAGAGCAGATGGGTGAGGCTGGGGAGCTGGGCAGAGGTTTTGGTCAGGAGCCCTCCACGGGGCAGCTGAGGCCCCTTCACTGAGCAGGAAGGGGCTGTGGAACCCTGGGAAACAGGCGGCCCTTGGGTTTCACTGGCTGGCTCTTCGGCGATAGGTAACCATCTTAGCTGGACCTCAGGAAAGTGTTGGCCTCTTCCTTCGTGTATAGTTTGATGGTGGAAGAGATGGCACTGAAGGCCACCTGCTTTTTCTGAGCTGGGGCGAGGCAGAGGTATGGGAGGAGATGCTGGGACACAAGCCATTGCTGCTTCTTGGAGCCAGAAACCTAGGGAAGCCATCCTGCCTCCTCATTCCCTCCTAGGCAGGCCCACACACTTCCCTCTGTGTGCCATCTCTGGGCCAGAAGGCTACAGAGGGCTAACCTGGCCCTGCCTTTAGGAAACTCTGGATTTGAGGGATCTGGGAGAGCCAGATAGGAGATAACCTGTCCCCAGGTTATCAGAGATGACCCCCGGAAAGGAGGTGCTCTGCTTCAATCACTTAATACCAGGCATCACACCAAGTTCTGTTGTAGGGGCTGATGGCTCAGGAACGAGGGGGGCGGCTTACAGTGCCTGGGGATAGAACAATTGGGCCTAGGGGTTTGACAGGAAGAGGAACTGAGGAGGGTGATAGCAGGCTGTCAGTCATGGCGAGTGAGGTGCGGGTGCCCCAAACATGATGCTGGGACCCTAAAAGCCAAACTAAGGGGTGCCCTGAGGCTGGCATCATCATAAGACCAGAACTGACGCAAACGGTGAAAAGTTTACAAACTGTGTCCTTTAGGATGAGCCGGCAGGTGGTTCGCTCCAGCAAGTTCCGACATGTGTTTGGACAGCCAGCCAAGGCTGACCAGTGCTACGAGGATGTGCGCGTCTCACAGACCACCTGGGACAGCGGGTTCTGTGCTGTTAACCCCAAGTTCATGGCTCTGATCTGTGAGGCCAGCGGAGGAGGGGCCTTTCTGGTGCTGCCCCTAAGCAAGGTGAGCTCCTGGATCAGCAGCTATCCTGAGGAGGCCTCTGCTATCTAGTAACACTGTGGGGTCCTGATAGGTGATTGTCACCAAGCTTTCCTGGGACCCAGTGTTGTCACCTGCCAAACTGAACAGGGCCAATTGCACCTTAAGTTCTCTGGGAACAGAACACAGAAGCCAGACTTGCATACCAGGACCAGGTCTCCCAAATTTCAGTCTGCAGTTTTCTGCTTGGAAGAACAGATGGCAGCTCCAGGGGTGTTCTCAGGGATGGGCTCTCCAGGTCTGGCCTGTGTGAGGAACTGGGCTAAGCCTTTGGGGGACTCAGCAAATGTAACCCCTGGCTCACAGGTGGGGATGAGGCAAGGGTCTTTTCTGGCCCTCTGAGCCTGCTGCCCTTCACTCCAAGTACACGCCTGAACTCTTTAGGGGGTGAGACAGGAAGGGGAGATGGGACCCAAGTTGTTACCTTAAAAGGGCCGATGGAAGCAAAGAGAAGAGGAAGTGGTTGTTGGAGTGAGAGCTGGGTTTGCACCCTGTACAGCTACACAGGAAGCCCTGATGCAGCAGCTGGCCCCGGAAGAAGCCATTTCCAAACCTCTGCTGCTGCCTGGGGGGGCATTAGGACAGACTTCCAGGCCCCTCTGTATCCTGTAGCCTCCCTGTCACACACACTTCTCATGGGAACTTCATCTCTATGCGATTGCTGGGTCCAGGGCCTGTGGTGCCTGTGCCTGCTTCACACAGGGAAGCTGGATAGGAGTGGGATGCTGATCCTCAGAACACAGATGACACTGATAGAGAGGGGCAGGATCTTGGCCCGATCTCATGCAGCCAAGTGCCTGCCTTCCTGAGACTGAGGCAAAGTCAAGTCTTGACCCCTGGGCTCCCTGGGACCCCACAGCTTTCCTCTGTGTCCCTTTGCAGGGGTGTGGGGAGGTTGGACTGGGTTTGGAGGTCAAAAGTGCCTCCATCAGAAGCCCTGGTGTGTCCTCCAGACTGGACGAGTGGACAAGAACGTGCCCCTGGTCTGTGGCCACACTGCCCCTGTGCTAGACATCGCCTGGTGCCCACACAATGACAATGTCATTGCCAGTGGCTCTGAGGATTGCACAGTCATGGTGAGTTCTGGTGGGACTCTGGTATAGGAGGGGTCTCCAGGAAGGAGCTGATATCTGAAGCCCCAGAAACTCACTTGAGCCTTTCTGCAGGTGTGGGAGATCCCCGATGGGGGCCTGACGCTGCCCCTGCGGGAGGCCATCGTCACCCTGGAGGGCCACACCAAGCGGGTGGGCATCGTGGCCTGGCACCCCACAGCCCAGAATGTGCTGCTCAGTGCAGGTGCCATAGGGGGAAAGGAGGGGGCTGGCTGAGGGCTGACTGGAGGACAGTGGCTCGTGGTTAACACTAGGTGATTCTGCAGGTTGTGACAATGTAATCCTGGTGTGGGATGTGGGCACTGGAGCGGCTGTGCTGACACTAGGCCCCGATGTGCATCCCGACACAATTTACAGCGTGGACTGGAGCAGGGACGGAGCTCTTATCTGTACCTCCTGCCGGGACAAGCGCGTTCGCATCATTGAGCCTCGCAAAGGCACTATTGTGGCTGTAAGTTGCCATGAACCTTAAACCTTGGACAGTTATCCCATCCATCCGCCACCCAGCAGACCTTTGGGTGCTGCCCCCTTGCCCCCACCTGAGCTCTAGTACCTTGGGGAGAGTGTGATAAACTGACCTACTACCACCTCCTTTCAGGAGAAGGACCGTCCCCACGAGGGCACCCGGCCAGTGCACGCTGTATTTGTATCAGAAGGAAAGATCCTCACCACAGGTTTCAGCCGCATGAGTGAGCGGCAGGTGGCGCTGTGGGACACAGTGAGTGCAGAGATGGAAAATGGGACCTGGGCTGGGAATCAAGACTGGAGGCTTCATCTCTGCCTTTCCACATGCCTTGCTGGATGACCATAGCCTCAGTTTACCTGTGAGATGGGGAATTTGCACTGCTTGGTCTGAAAGGACCTTTGCCAGCTCACTGCCCAGTGAGAATCAGCAGGGGCCTGACATGGCCCAGCCAGTTGCTAACTCCCACCCCTCTACAGAAGCACCTGGAGGAGCCACTGTCCCTGCAGGAGCTGGACACCAGCAGTGGAGTCCTGCTGCCTTTCTTTGACCCTGACACCAACATTGTCTACCTCTGTGGCAAGGTGACAGTCAGGCGGGGCCAGAGTCAGGGAGGTGGGTAGGTGGCTTGGGGAGTACTGGAGTTGGTGATCTGTGCTGGTGCTGACCCTCCCTTGCCCACACCTGCAGGGTGACAGTTCCATCCGGTACTTTGAGATCACTTCTGAAGCCCCGTTCCTGCACTATCTCTCCATGTTCAGTTCTAAGGAGTCTCAGCGTGGCATGGGCTACATGCCCAAACGTGGCCTAGAAGTGAACAAGTGTGAGATTGCCAGGTGACTGACCCTCAACCCTGACCCTGACCACACTTCAGACTCTACCAAGCCAAAGCTGTGGTGCCATTTATCTTCCTCTTTCCACAGATTCTATAAACTGCATGAGCGGAAGTGTGAACCAATTGCTATGACAGTGCCTAGAAAGGTGATGCTCCTATGCTCCTCCCTGGGTACCAGCATAGGCACTAACTATGGGGCTCATAGGGTGGGGCAGGAACATAAACACTCTCCTAACCAGTCTTGGCTTTGACCTTGCCCACAGTCGGACCTGTTCCAAGAGGACCTGTACCCACCCACTGCAGGACCAGACCCTGCCCTCACAGCTGAGGAATGGCTTGGGGGTCGGGATGCTGGGCCCCTTCTCATCTCCCTCAAGGATGGCTACGTGCCCCCAAAGAGCCGAGAGCTGCGGGTCAACCGGGGCCTGGACAGTGCGCGCAGGAGGACCCCACCAGAGGCCAGTGGTACTCCCAGCTCGGTGAGACGGGTAGGGAGGTGGGGAAGCAGGACAGGAAGATGGACAGGGGTAGGGCAAAGGCTGTACAGATACTCTCAGTGCCCCTGAGAAAGAGTCAGGTGTTTAGAGATGCCCACACAGTATCAGGAGATCTTTAGGGGCTAGGAGTTGGTCATTCTGAGGCCTTAGAAACCAGGTCAAGCTTCTAGGTCTGCAGCAATCCAGGCAACAGCTGCTGAAACTGAAAGGCCCAAGCCTTGGGACTCTTGGGAAGGTTAGCAGATGTCAGGGGAAGGGAAGCCATGAGAAGCTGGGCCTAATGTGGTGGGTCTCCCAGGATACTGTGTCACGGCTAGAGGAGGAGATGAGGAGCCTGCAGGCCACCGTGCAGGAGCTACAAAAGCGTCTGGACAGACTGGAGGAGACTACTCAGGCCAAGTAGAGGACCCCAGGGCCTTCAGCTGGGGCCACTCACTCCACTCCCAGCCCACTCCTCAGGCTACATGGTAAATGAGATGAAAATAATAAAATGGCTCTATTTTCTTGTACCTCTCAGGCTCTGGTGAAATGATCTATCCCAGAACTTCTCCCTTCCTCGTTCTGATGGTGCTATCCCCATTAGATGGGGTCACTTGCAAATGCACCCCATCTCAGGAATGGGGCCTTGACTGGCAGGATATACATGATGTGGGTTGAGAGCCTACTGTCCATTCCTAGCTCCATCTCAGAGCTGGAAAGTCTGAGCTATTCATATCCCTATCTTAGGGCCTTCAGAATTCCCAGTCATGCCAAATCTTCTGTGTTTTCTTTGGTAGTAGTAGGGATCAAAGCCAGGGCCTAGTACGTGCTAGGCAAGTCCTCTTATCTCTGACCCCAAATCAGTTATGTCCTAGTCAACGCAAAGACAAATTGCATTCAACTGTACAGACACTGCTGTCTGTGGGGGAATGAACCAACAAGCACTTGCACAGTGCCATCTTTCAAACTACAAGATGAGATAGCCGGGCGTGGTGGCGCACGCCTTTAATCCCAGCACTTGGGAGGCAGAGGCAGGAGGATCTCTGTGAGTTCAAGGCCAGCCTGGACTACATAGTGAGTTCCAGGACAGCTGGGTACAGGGAGACCCTGTCTCAAAAAGACCAAAAAAAAAAAAAAGATGAGGAAAAAAAAAAGAGGAGTTTCTGGCTAGATATGGTGCTCACACCTGTAATCCTAGCACTTGGGAGACTGAGGACTGTCATGAGTTTCAGGCCAGCCTTGGCTATAGAATGAGACCCTACCTCAAAACAAAACAAAACATCCCCAAAAATGGAAGTGGTTGGGAATATAGCTCAATTGGTAGAGTGCTTGTCTAGCATACACAAGGCCCTGGGTTTGGACCCCAGCACTACATAAAGTTCAGTAAGTGGGAGTGAAGGTAGGAGGATCAGATGTTCAAGATCAGCCTGGGATAGAGATCTTGTCTCAAAAACAAAACAAAGAGAATGGAGAGATGGCTCAGCCCTTAAGACTACTGGCTGCTTTTGCAGAGGACCTGGGTTTAGTGTCCAGCACCCACATGGTGGCTAACAACTGTCTGTAACCCCAGTTCCAAGGGATCAAACACCCCCTCTTCTGACCTCTGTGGGCACTGCACAACACAGGTGCACTTACATACATGCAGGTAAACACTCATACACATAAAAGTTAAAAAATATGTATTCTTGGGGCTAGAGAGATGGCTCAGCGGTTAAGAACACTGGCTGTTCTTGCAGAAGACCTGGGTTCGAATCTCAGCATCCACATGGCAGCTAACAACTGTCCGTAACTCTAGTCCCAGGGGATCCGACAGCCTCTTCTGACCCCTGCAGGCATTGCACGACATGGGTGCACTTACCTACATGCAGGAAATACATACATACACATAAAAATGACAAAATTAAAAAAAATATGTAAGAGAGTCGAGCTGGAGAGATAGCTCTAGTTAAGAGCACTGATTGCTCTTGCAGAGGACCTGGGTTTGGTTCCCAGCATCTACCTGGTGGTTAACAACCTTTGGCAACTTCAGTTCAGGAGATCCAACACTCTTTTCTAGCCTCCACAGGCATTGCATGACAGGTGCACTTACACACAGGCAAAACATGCAGGCAATACACATAAAATAAAAATACTTCAAAAATTTAAATAAAATAGAAACAGAACAAGAGGCCCAAGAGATGACTCTGGTTTAGAGTACTCCACATTATGAAGACCAGAGTTCAGATGCCAGCACCATGTGACAAACTGGGTGTTGCTGCAAATGCCTGTAACTCCAGCTTTGAAATGGATAGAGACAGAGGGCTCACTGGGGAATGCTGGCTTTCAGTCTAGTCAAGATGCAAGATGCAGCTTCAGGGAGGGAGGAATCAGTGGCAAGTTCTGTTGCCCTCTTCTGGCCTCCACATGTGTATGGGCAAACACACACATGTACATACACTCATACATGCACATAAATAAAAATAAATCTCGGACTGGAGAGATGGCTTGGGTGAAGAGTACTTACTACTCTTCCAGAGGACCCGAGTTTGGATCCTAGAACCCACACTGGGTGGCTCACAACCGCCTATAGCTCTGGCTCTAGCGGATCTGACACCCTCTGAGGGCACCCACACAATAATAAAAATAAGTCTTCAGAAAACCAAAGACATTCTATAAAGAAAAAACTTAGAGAAATAAGGGATCAGCTTGACTGGTGACTGAGGCAGAGAGCAGGCTAACAGTTTGCTGAAGGGCAGTTTTAGAGTCATGATTTAAGCACTCCCTTCTCATTCAGAGCATTTTCCTGCTGTCTCTGGGCTCTTTCTGTGGGTCTCACCAGGACCTGGCCTCTGTGAGTGGGGGTCAGGCAGGAACAGGTCCTTTCTATGGGAGTTTTTTTGTTGTGTTTTGTGACTGACTCACATAGTCCAGGATGGCCTTGAACTCTTAATCGTTTTGCCTCCACCTCTCAAGTGCTATTGCAGGTGTGCACCACCATGCCTGGTTTATGTGGTACTGAGGATCAAACCCAGAGCTTTATGCATGCAAGGCATCACTCTGTCAACTAGCTGTATCTTCAGCCCAGGAGTAGCCTTACTGGTGGAGACTCCAGAGCTGGGCTGATACAGAGCTGTTTAGGAGGGTATCCTGGCCAGAACCTGGCTGAGTTCATACCATGCAGGGCCTACCCAGGAACCTATTCCCAGTTTGTTCCTCTTCAGCACTTACCTGGGTACAGAAAACCTGCCTGCAGACTTAGGTCTTACCCTCTGTACAGGCCATGTGATCCTGGGCAAGTCTCTTCTCTGCTACCAAATGGAGGAGGGCCACAAAACTTGGGGAACGCAAGGCTTGATCCTTCTTGGGGATGTAAGCCAGGCTCCTCTCTGCATTTTTTTTTTTTAATTACTGCAAACCAGATACGCACATGTTATTCTTTTACGTTAAAGACATAACAGTGAGGCCAGGTGTGGTGGCCAATGCCTTTAATCCCAGCACTCGGGAGGCAGAGGCAGGTGGATCTCTGTGAGCTCAAGGCCAGCCTGGTCTACATGGTGAGTTCCAGGCCAGCTGGGGGGCTACTATTTGGTCTATTGTAATAAGACCAAAAAAAAAAAAAAAAAAAGACATAACAGTGAAAAAGGATTGTAGTGTATTTATTATCACTGCAGACCTATATTAGTTAGAAACTGGAAAGTAAATGTCGCAGTCCTACAGGACAAATCTTATGATTAGACTGCCAGTATATTGTTTTCTCTTTTTAAATAAATTTTTATTAAAATGGCATTTGCCTGTCCTCTCTGGACATGTCACTTCTGTAAACACATGTGGCTGTCCTCTGCCACTACTCCTTCATTCAGGACTCAAGGGTAGGCAGTGGCAGTGAGAGGGACACCTGTGGACACCTATGATGGACACCTGGCCTAAGGCTGCAGCGTGTGTGGCACCCCTTGGAACTCAACTTTAGTGACAACATCAGAAGGGTCAGGTTTAAAACCCTAATGGTGTTTTGTGTTGCTTTCTTGCTTAGAATAGTCACAGCTAGTTTGAGCCCATCAATTGAATAGAGAATCATGTGTTTAAAACAAGTAAATTGAATGACCAAATAAATTAAAAAAATTTTAAAGCCCTGAGTTCACAGACTGGTTTTAGGAATTTTTTATTTTAATGGAAACATGAGACTCTATTTCAATAAGCAGCTTATAGATTTTGGCAAACCGTATTTCCTATGACAATGGGATCTCATATGGGTCTGCAGTTCAAAATCTAAGGCTGAAATCTGGGACAGAAGGCATTCCAGAAAATGGAGAATCTAATAAACCAAAGACATCTCATGTTTGATGCTGGCTGTCATGGAAGGGCTGTTGGTCTGAGTGTAGCTGGTCTCATGTAAATCCAAACTGGTACACAATTGCTGACACTAGAACATGTCAAGCAAAGTACATGGTGTGTAGCGTGTCCTGATAGACTTGGACCACCTTGGCCAGCGCTTGGTGGTTTCTCCTGTTGTTTGCCCAGAGGTATGGCTTCTTTCAGCACTGTCATGTTCTTTACCCACCTGGTGGTACCTGGCCCAGAAAGCCACCAGATGTGCATAGTATGCCGGTGCTGGGCTACACAGTGCAGCGCACACAGGGGTGACACAGCTGGTAGGTTAGAATCTGCAGCACGTCAGAAGAAAAACGACTGTCATCCCAAAGGATGTGATAGTGAGAAGGTCGGCTTGTCCCCTGGATGCCGGCATGACTGCATAGGTAGAAGTCAAAATTGATAGAGTAGGTGATTTTCTTGTCCACGGTTGTGTCCGCTGGAATGTCCCACACTTCCCAAACCGTTTGTTCTTGTTGGTGCAGAAGAGCCGCATGTGGTGCTGCTTCTGAAACCACCATGAAGGTGATTCCAGGCTGGTAGCCCTTCTCCAGCTTGATGCAGGCCTCACAGATGGCCAGCAGCTCATGGTGGAGCACCTGCTGGAACTAGCCCCCGGAGATGCCGTCACAGGAGATGATGAACTTGAAGCACGTGGACTTGTAGAACTGGATGAGCAGATCATGCACCATGGTGGCCAGGTCTCAGATGATCCCACTGGTGCTGCTACACACCCACAGTAGCACAGTAGCAGTTGGGGTGTGCGTCCATACTGCCCATGACAGCAGCAATCAATAGCTTCTTCCCATCCCTAGCAGGTGGGTGACGTTAGCTCCCAGGAAGACGACAGGGTGCTGGAACACCAGGGTCCTGCCCTGTGGCAGCAGAATGTCTGACACTGACCTTCAAGCAGATTGGACAGGGTCTTCAGAGTGGCTCTCTGCACGTTCATCTGGACACACTGCGTGGCCATCTCCAGCACCATGTCTCCACATATTTGACTGCAGCATACATGGGGGTTTTGCCAGGCACAATAGCCACCACCAGCTGCTGGTCAGCATGTGTTCTTCAGGTGCCGGACCATGGGCTCTACACTGTGTATTTACAGAAGCAGGGTTGCCCCTGGATTGGCATTCTGGCACCTGGAGATCTTCCTCAGTTGCTCTGTAAAGGACTTTGGATGAACTTGTGTACACTGGCAATGGGGCACGGCCATGGCCCACACCTTAACCTCGACGCCCTTTGTGGAACTGCTTGTTCCTCATGCTCCACAGGCCCTGGACAGGGGTGGCGACTGCTTTGTTCCTACCCCCGTAGAGGATGGGCACCCACTGCAGGACACACCCAGTCACGTCTGTCATTTCATATTTGACCATGATTTCAAATTCAGGAGCCTAGGGAATCTATATTGAAACTTGCACTTCCCATCGATTTGCTGATCTCCTCTTGCCCTTCAGGCGCTGACCTGGCAGTTGCACTGATCATGGCTGAGGTCTGATTGTTAATTTTTTTGTACATCTCTGTCTAGTCACTATGTTATAGACCTCCAAGGGAAGGTAGGTGTGTTTTTGCCCCTGTCCAACTTATAAAGACGGGAGGTGGGGGTTGTACAGACCAGTTTGTGCCTGTCCTTAACTTACTGGGTCAATGTGCACGCACAGTACTCACCATCTGCCTGCTCTCCTGCTACAGCAGCAAGTCCAGTGACTGGTGGGCTGCAGGTCACATTACAGACACAGCACTTCCTCTTCATCTGCCCACCTTGCACTATCTAGACCTTTAATTTCTTTGGTAAACTTTACCCTTTGGGAATCTGCCACATGTTTTTGTTCTTCAAAACTTTTTTTTTAAAGTCTTTTTGAGACAGGGTCTCCCTGTAGCCCCAGCTTACCTGGAACTCACTATGTAGACCACACTGGTCTAGGAACTCAGAGATCTGCCTGCCTCTGCCTCCCAAGTACTGGGATTAAAGGCATGTACTAACACGCCTGGCCCAAAACTTTTTTTTTTTTAATTTATTATTTTATTTTGGTCTTTTTGAGAGAGGGTCTCCCTGTATTCCCAGCTGGCCTGGAACTCACAAATTGGACCAGGCTGGCCTTGAACTCACAGAGATCCGCCTGCCTCTGCCTCCCCAGTACTGGGATCAAAGGTGTGTGCCATCACACCTGGCTGTTCTTCAAAACTTTTAAAAATCCATAATTCATAAACTCCATCACTGGCTGAGCCTTATAAAATCACTGTCACTGACACATCAACATTCAGCATCATTTTCCAAAGAGAAATTGGAGGGATTGGTGGAAGTCAAACACACTTCTAGGCCTCTACCCAGGGTTGGAGCAGCCCTCGGATGTGGTGAAGAAAGAGCAGCCCACGGGTGTATACCTCATGAATGGTAAGTGCCACATGACAACATCCAGGGCCTAGATCATCTTGAAGGGGACATTGGGCAGCCACCCCAAAAGTACGTCATGTAATGCCTGCAAGCTCATGCATGACACCCACTTGGACACCTTGAAGATATGGACCTTGCCTTCTCCCAGAAGTGTGACCTCCAGCTCTACCTTGTCCCTGCCAATTGGAAGGGGCATGGCAGTGTACAGATTCTTCCTTCCATCAAACACTAGCTTCTGGTCCCTGAACATCTGCATCTTAAAGTGCTGGACCATGTGCTCCACTAACTCCCTGTTCACTCTCCTAGGGCTTCTCTCTGGTTTGATGTCTAGTTTGTAGTGACAGATGTTAATTTTGGGGATGCCCATATCAAAGAAATTGGCTTGTAGCTTGATTGTTCCCCTGGAGATTCCAAAGTCTGTCCATGGTGGAGGCTTGAAGGCATATCCTGGAATAGATGCCAGTGACGGAGGAGGGGCAAGAACAGGCAGCCTGACGAGTACCTGGCGGCACCGCCAACACCAAGAGTCACTGGCCACTGCTCAATCCCTCTTGCCAAACAAGTTTATATGGCGGTGGTCAGGGCTGGCAGCCTCGGAGGGGGAGGTTCTCTCTACATCTTTTAAAAAACATTTTTATTTATGTGTATGTTTTGCTTGCATTCAAGTGTACCCATGTCATGCAGTGCCCATGAAGGACAGAAGAGGGTGTTGGATCCCCTAGAACTGGCGTTAAGACACTTGTTAGCCACCATGTGGGTGCTAGGAATTGAACCTGGGTCCTCTGCATGAGCAGCCAGTGCTCTTAACTGCTGAGCCAGCTCTCCAGCCCCTCCTCTGTGCATCTCACCTACACCTTTGTGGGGTCCTTGTGAGTAGTGCTCACTAGTGCTCCTCCAGAAAACTATGAATGTTCAGATGCTTCAGGGAATGGAGAAGGCATGACTAGTGACACTATGACTCTAGCTTGACCAGTCTCTTTAATGAAAGTTAAGAGAAGAAGGTGGGGCACAGTGGGCAACAGCTGAGATATGCCTTCAACATAGGGAAGAGCTGGGTGTGGTGGTAGCCATCTGCAGTCAACATGGAAGGCTGAAGCAGGAAGATAATCTAAGCTCTTGAACTCAGAGCCACCTGGAAACATATCCAGACCCTGCCTAACAAAACAAAACAAAACAAAGCTTACACCCACAGTGGGGCGTTAATTGGTGGAAAGAATACATCTGATTTCTCACTTAAAGAGACCTGGACTTGGGCTAACAAGCCTCTGTGCAAGGTCCTACCATCCCTAACAATCTATGGTTAAGACTGACAGACATAGCCAGTGAGGTGGCGCACGCCTTTAATCCCAGCACTTGGGATGCAGAGGCAGGCAGATCTCTGTGAGTTCGAGGCCAGCCTGGTCTACAAAGTGAGTTCCAGGGAGACCCTGTCTCAAAAAAGACAAAAACATTGACAGACATACCACACCTACTCTCTCTGAGGCTCGGATCAGCCTTACTCTCCTGGTATAATTCCATCTTGATTGCCTACTACATCCCCTACAACTGACATACCCATCATTCTACCAGAGGCAACTGTGGTCATAGTAAGTCTAAAACTATTAAAGACTTGAGTTCTGGGGCTGGAGAGATGGCTGCTCTTATGGAGGACCCAGGTTCAATTCCCAGCACTCACATGGCAGCTAACAACCATCCATAACTCCAGTTCCAGGCCAAGGCAGTCCAATGCCCTTTTCTGACTTCCATGGGCACTCCATGACAGTGGTGCACTTACATGTGCAGGAAATAAGCTCATATATATAAAGTTTTTTTTTTTTTTTTTTTTTTTAAAAAAAAAAAAAAGACAAGCTCCATTGGGATTTCTTCCATGGGCCAGAAAGCAGAACTCCAGGTGTTGAGGAGCCTGGACTGGACACCACTTCCTCTAAGATACAGGGAGGGAGAAATTGCCAGGACTTCTATATTGTGAGTCCAGTAACTGTGATGCCAGGGACGGGAGAGGTGTGTTCAGTTGCTCAGTGCCTGAAACCCTGAGGTCTTTCACACCTCTGTATCTTGTAAGTCTGGCAGGACAGGAAGGCATAGCTGTCTAAGGGCTAACCATGTTGTTAATATAGACCACAGGTGTAGACAGAGAAGGCTTGCCCAGGACTAAGGGAAAGAACTTTCATTTTATAAATTGAGACCTAGAAGACCAAGCTCAGGAGAGGAATTCATCCAAGTTAGGTAAAACAATAGCTACATCAGGCTGGGCCTGGTGGTGCACGCCTTTAATTCCAGCACTCTGGAGGCAGAGGCAGGCGGATCTCTTGAGTTCAAGACCAGTCTGGTCTACATAGTGAGTTCCAGGCCAGCTGGTGCTACAGAGAGACCCTGTCTCAAAAATACCAAACCAAAACAAACAAAACAAAAAAGAACTCACAATAGATCAAAGTCAGAGAAAGGCCAAGTCCCTGACAGCCTTATACCCCTCAAACAACACTCCAACACAAGCTGGTCCTGATTTACGGTTTAATGGCTGTACAGCTCTTGATCCCTCATTTCCGCCGCTCCCGGGTCCACTGCTCTGGGGTCAGCGTTTTCTGCTCAAAGGCATGGATGTGTGGGAGCTCTTCTGCTAGGCACGCATTCACCAGCCTGGGTCAAGAGACAGGCCGGGGCTGAGGTTGTGGTCTCCCAAACTCGCGTGACCAAGGAGACAGTGTCTCCAAGGTGTGAGAATTCAAGGAGGGGACACAAGACGAAACTTGAAGAAGGCACCCCAAGGACAGGAGAAACCCGGGGCACGGGCCACACTGCAAGGCTGCGGGGGTAAGGACTGGGCCGGGTGCAGACTAGGGTTGCGGCCCTTAACCTGAAGCCGGGGAGTCCCAGGGGCTCACCGGTGTCTCTGGAGCAGTGGCTTTCCCTCGAACTTAGCCGACACCACCAGGACTCGGAAGCTGGTCGCGCAACGGTTTAGAGTCGTGTCCTGCACCTCCTACCCAGCAGGAGAAAGGGTCCTTGTGGTGCCGCGCCGGAGCCGCCCTCCCACCACCTGGCTGGTCCCCGCCGCCTCCAACTCACCACGTGCTCCGCCTCCAGGTCCCGCTGCAGCTTCTCGCGGAGGTAGTCGGCGCTGAGCTCCATCGCTGCAACCCGGAGGGGCCACAGCCCGGCGAGGACAGGACCCCTGTCGGAATCCGGGCACCCTGCTTCTGCCCTTACTGCAGCCACTTCCTCGGAGGCGCTTACTTCCGCCCTTACTAGGGCGGCCTTAGGTGCAGCACTTCCGCCTTCGGGCACGGTTAACCAATCAGAGCCGGCTTGAGACTGGACCTGGTCTGCAAGGGCCGCGGGGCTCAGAAGCTGAGCTTGGACTCCCTCCTCCAGCCGGGAGGGTGTGCCGAACTGCATTTCTGGGTGCCCGGGGCACTCACGATACCCGCCGAGCCCTGGTTCAGAAGCTCGTATCTTGCAGCCCTGGCCACCCGGCTCTTTCCGAGGTCCGAGGTCCCAGAAATCACCCTCCAGTTGGAAGCTCCGACCCACAAGGCCCCGATGGGACAGGCGGCGAGGTCGGGGCGCTTCTTCGGCGTCTACCTACTCTACTGCCTGAATCCCAGGCATCGGGGCCGTGTTTACGTGGGATTCACCGTCAATCCTGCTCGGCGGGTCCAGCAGCACAACGGCGGTCACAGAAAAGGCGGGGCCTGGCGGACCAGCGGGAGAGGACCCTGGTGAGAGCGCCCGGGCGTCTGCCGGGAGGAAGGCTTGCCGCAGGAGGCGGGCTGCCAGGGCACAGGCTTAACGGTGGAGGCGGAGCCAGTGGTGTGAAAGCGGACCTCGTGGTCGTGGCCTGCTACTAGGGCGAGCATAGGCACGAGTGAGCACGCGGTGGCTCTCCGGACAGGGATCTAGAATTTGTTTGATGACCAAGACTTGGGATGGTTACTGGGGTACTAAGGGTTCAAGTTCTATCTAGATGACTCCGACAGATGGGTGGATTAAAAAAAAAGTAGCATAGAAAATTCATTAAAAAATTTTTTTTATTTTATGTGTAGGAGTATTTTGTCTGCATGTATGTGCACCCGTGTCGTGCAAAGTCTATGGAGGCCAGAAAAGGGCGATGGATCCCCTGGAACGAGTTACAGACAGTTGTTAGTTGCAATATGGGTGCTGGGAATAGAACCCAGGTCCTCTGGAAAAACAACCAGTGCTCTTAACTGCAGAGCCAGCTCTCCAGCTCCACAAAAAATACTTTTATTCAGCCAAAAAGATAAATGAAATTATATCACTCGTGGAAAATGGATGGAACCAGGTTTCATGTTAAGTGATTGTGCTGGTTAGTCTTTTTCAACTTGACACAAACTAGAGTCACTTGGAAAGAGGGAACCTCAGCTGAGGAATTTCCTGCATCCAATTGGCCTGTTGGTTTGTCTGTGAGGAGTTTGGGTGTTTTTTTGACTGCTGAGGGATGTAGGTGGGTCCAGTCCACTGTGGGTGGTGCCCTTCCTAGGCAGGTTGGCCTGGGCTTTGTAAGAAAGGTAGCTGATCAAGCCAGGGGAGCAAGCAATAAGCAGTGTTTCTCCATAGTCAGCTTCAGGTCCTGCCTTGGCATCTCTCAATGCTGGGCTATAACTTGTAAGCCAAATAAATGCTTTCCTCCCCAAGTTGGTTTTGGTCAGTGTTTTATCACAGCAACAGAAAGCAAACTAAAAGTGATTTAACAAATATTTCATGTTTTCTCTCATTAGAAATTTAGATACAGTTACAAGCACTGGCTGCTCTTGCAGAGGACCTGGGTTCTGTTCCCAGCATCCACATGACGGCTAACAACCATCCATAACTCCAGTTCCAGGGTATCCAGCACCCTCTTCTGGGTTCCGTGGGTATTGGACAGCACAGCATACAATTAATGTACATTGGTAAAAATTTTTAAAGAAGGCAGAGATCAGGAAATGGGCACCGTGGTCAGCAAAGCTGGGGCTGGAATACCAATCAGAAAGGAAAGGAATGAAGGACTGGGGGACTAGCCTGAGGTTGGCAGGTGCAATGGGTCTTACCTGCATGATAGGGGCTGGACCTAATTAATGAAATAGGCAAGTGTGAAGACTTCTGTTAGTGTGGACTGGCACAGGTGGTGGTTGGGGGTGATGGGGACTGACTGGTCCTGTGCCCTCTCTGTCCTCAGGGAGATGGTGCTCATTCTGTATGGTTTTCCATCTGCTGTGGCTGCCCTTCGGGTAAGAAAGGAGACGGGTGGCTTAAGGGTGGGCTAACCTGGGGGCCACCCTGACTCTCTTGTGGTCTCCTGTAGTTTGAATGGGCTTGGCAGCACCCTCAAGCCTCACGTCGCCTGGCGTACGTGGGGCCCCGCCTGCGCAGTGAGGCAGCCTTCACCTTCCACCTACGTGTGCTGGCGCACATGCTGCGTGCCGCACCATGGGTGCGCCTCCCGCTAACACTGCGTTGGCTACAACCCGACTTCCACCATGATCTCTGTCCAGCACCACCACCACACATGCCCATCACCTTTGGGCCACCACCACCCCAGTCCTTGGCCACAAAGGGAATTGCTGCTACTGCGACTGACAGCGAGACCCCAATGGATCTGGGTGCGGAGGCCAGCTGTACCTTGTGTGCACACACTCTGCAGGTAGGGGCGCATAAAGGCTGAGACCTCAGGGTTTGCCCTCCCTGACACATCTCCAAAATGGGGACACTAGTACACTTGGCTGTTTCTGGACCTAACAGGTATCAGGGCCATTAGATCTTTGGAATGGGTGACCTACCATCTATCTTCCTTCTGAGATCTTTCCTGGCCTCATCTGAAATCTCAGCTCTTCTGTGTGCTCTCTTCCTTTCCCATTTTCATTAACATTATCTCACTTGCTATCCACCTTATTACCAGATAACCAGTCTTCACTCCAACAGCCAGAAGGGTACTTTGTTCACTTCTGTGGAACAGAAGCCAACACAGAACAGGTGCTCAGTAATTTCTGCCAAGCTCTCAGTAAATGTTACTCCCTGTGGGGATGACATTTTTGGGAATGCCTTACATCACAAATGGGACTCTTACCTAACCTTATAACCAAAGTTAAGCTTGTTTTGAGATCATTTAACAGTACCTCAACTTTTTCACAATGTAAACAAGCTTACCAGGCCTTGATATCCTTTTGTAAGTTAAACATACACCTTAGGACCCTTCACTGTCCCAACCCAGAATAATTTGTGTATGTTGTGAAAATATTGAGCACTGAAAGTAGCAAACACCATCCAAAGCAGTGAATTATCCCATTTTATGTTGCGAACAGTAAGATTAGATTGATAACATCTGTTTGTGGTTGTATATGCTGTTCTGTGTCAGTAGACATCAGAAAGGGACAATCCCCTAACGAGACAAGTTCCTCATTTCTTTCCCATGTCATGCTGGATGTACATACAGATGTACTTTCTTTCTTTTTCTTTTTGGCATTTTTTTTTTTTTTTTTTTTTTTTTTTTTTTTTGTGAGACTGAGTCTTGCCTTGTAGCCCTGGGTAGCTGGTTGGCTTTTTGAGACAGAGTTTCCTTGTAGCCCCAGCTGGCCTGGAACTCGCTATGTACATCAGGCTGGCCTCAAACTCACAAAGATCCTCCCTCTGCCTCCCAAGTGCTGGGATTAAAGGAGTGTGCCATCAGGCCTGGCCGGATGTGCTCTTCCAATAAACAGAGCAAGTCCTTGGTTGGAGAGAACAGCTCTGAGAGAAATCAGAAGGAACAAGTTCTCAGAACAGATCAGGCTCAGTGGTGGTCATAACTGAAAAGGGGTCAGGCTGTCTTTGTTCATACACAGCCATAATATGGCATCTCTACTACAACCTCCCTGCCTGCCTTCCTTGTCTGCCACCTCTTACAGGATGAAGAGCACCCCCTGTGCTGCCCCCACCCTGGTTGTCCCCTCAGGGCTCACGTCATCTGCCTGGCCCAGGAGTTCCTGCGGGAGGAACCTGAGCAGCTTCTGCCCCTGGAGGGGCACTGTCCTAGGTGAGTCCAGGCCCTCCTCACCTGTGGAGCTGGTACCCTGTGGTCCAATGCAGTTTAGCCAAATCCTCATCTTGAAACCCAGAGCCTAGGTGGAGGGGCTGGCTGGATTCCCGACTGTATCATCTCTAACCAGCTGCACCCTTTGGCAGCTGTAAGAAGTCACTACTTTGGGGAGACCTGATCTGGCTGTGCCACATGGACACCAAAGAGGAAGAGGACTTGGACTTAGAAGAGGTGAGAGGTGACTCTGGCCCTCTCCTCCCCAAACCCTCCAATCCCCTGGACTGCCTCTCACCCACGCTCTTGTCCTTACAGGAACACTGGACAGACCTACTGGAAACCTGATCCTCCATGTCCCCAACTTTTACCACTGTTTTCTCTGTGTCTCTTCAGTGATTAGGCAGGTTTTACTTGAGCACAATAAAAAACCTAAGTTAAGGGCTGGAGTGGTGGCTCAGTGGTTAAGGGAGCATACTGCTCTTCCAGAGGACCTGAGCTCAATTTCCAGCACCCACTTTCAGTGGCTCACAACTACCTGTAACTAGCTAGCTCCAGGGGATCTGATTTCTTCTGGCTTCTGTGGGCATCTAACACACACGTGCACAAACTCAACAGACAGACAGACACACAAACAAAAGTTTTTAAAAAATAAAAAATAGGGGCTGGAGAGATGACTGAGGAATTAAGAGCACTGGCTGCTCTTGCAGAGGACCCAGGTTCGGTTCTCAGCACCCACATGGTGGCTAACAACCACCCTAACTCCAGTTCCATAAGTTCCAGGGGACAACACCCTCTTCTGATCTCCGCAGGCACTGCACAAGTGCACTTACATACATGCAGGCAATACACTCACACATAAAATAAAAATTAAAAGCTGGGCATGGTGGCGCATGCCTTTAATCCCAGCACTTGGGAGGCAGAGGCAGGTGTATCGTTGTGATTTCGAGGCCAGCCTGGTCTACATAGTGAGTTCCAGGACAGCTGGGGGGTAAAAAGGGAACCCCGTTTAAAAAAAAAAAAAAAAAAAAAAAAAAAAAAATTAAACGTAAATAAATAATAAATCTTTAAAAAGTTAAGGGTGCCTTTGGTGTTTTCTCAGAGACCTGCAGAAGGGGAAGAAGTGAGGAGAAGCTTTGGGTTTGACCATGTGGCCTTGCTTTCCCCCGAGGTGACCATTATTGTCCTAGTTTGTGTTCCTGTTGCTGTGATAAACACCATGACCAAAAACAACTTAGGGAGGAAAGTGTTTGTTTCATCTTACACTTGCAGCTAATAGTCCATTAATGACGGAAGTTGGGGAAGGAACTCAGGGTAGGGAAATCACAGAGGAATGTTGCTGGCTTGCTCCTGTTGACTGGTGCTCAGCCAGCTTGCCAGGTCCACCTGCCAAGGGATGGGACTGACCACAGTGGACTAGGCCTTCCCACATCCATCAACAATCAAGAAAATGCCCCATAGACACTCCCACAGGCCAATCTGATGGAGGCAATCCCCAGTTGAGACTCCCTCAAATAATTCTGACTGTGTCAAGGAGAATTATTAAAAGCTCAAGAGAGGCCAAGCATAGTGGTGCAAGGCTTTAATCCCAGCACTCAGGAGGCAGAGGCAGGTGGATTTCTGTGAGTTCAAGGCCGGCCTGGTCTACATAGTAAGTTCTCAAAAAGACAAATAATAATAGGGGCTGGAGAGATGGCTCAGTGTTTAAGAACACTGGCTGTTCTTACAGAAGACCTGGGTTCGAATCCCAGCATCCACATGGCAGCTAACAACTGTCCATAACTCCAGTTCCAGGGTATCCGACAGCCTCTTCTGTCTGCTGTGGGCATTGCATGACACAGGTGCACTTACCTACATGCAGGCAATACATACATACACATAAAATAAAAACAAAATTTTAAAAATAAAGTATTTTAAAATAACAATAATAATGGCTCAGGAGACTAACACCTATGACTTGGAGCCTGGGTGCCTTCAGAGTGGAGCTTGATCTTAGTTCAAACACTAAAGTGGATGGCCCACAGCTATCTAAGGAGCCCTGTGCCCCTCCCAGCCCTAGCCTCTTACTCATTGGGTCTTTGGAGCCTCCTGGGAGCCCAGGGAAAAAGAAGCCTTTCAGGGGGCCGTTCTTCCATCAGCTATGAGAAGCACTTGCCTGAGGTGGCCCAGGAACCATGAATCTGGACCATTGTGCCAGGGCCTCTAGACTCCTGTCTTCCTTTCCTGTGCTGAGCAGACTTACCTTCCCTGCTGTGCCTACCTTCAGTTCCTTCACCCAGTCCACATCCATCACTGTGGTTTCACTTTCTCACAAAGCAGAGAGTTCAGAAAACCATCACTGTGGTTTCACTTTCTCACAAAGCAGGGAGTTTCCAGAAAACTGAGCTGTCCTGACCTCAATTCTTAAGTTTCCTCATTGCTGGCCTGGAGCCAACCAGAAGGAAAGTAGCCCTGCCCCCATCTTGGCCTTTCCCCCTCTCCTTTGACTGGGTCTGTAGACCACCATGGAGGGGTTGGGCTTCCAGGCTGGACACAGTACAGATGACAGGTGGAAAAACAAAATAACCAACCCACCCACAAGTATTTTCTAAGCTTGGTTCCAGCTGGGGGTCTAAAACAGTAACTGACCCCCCACCATATGCCACCCCTACTTCCTTCAGTGAGCACAGCATCTGTGAAAATCTGATAAACAGCTAACCACATCAAGCTCCACCCATCCCTTCCAGGGTACTGCCAGTCCCTGCTGGCTCTAGGTCCCTCCCATTTGGGACCTACAAAACCCTCAGCTGAGACAACCCCAAGCTACATACACACAAAGCTGTGTGCCCAAGAAACCATAAGACCCAGTCTTCAGAGACCAGGTGAGTACCTGAGTGGGGTGCCTGGGCCACACACCCCCTTGCCCTACCCAGATGCCCCCTTCCCCTGCCCAGCATCTGGCTTCAGTATCCTCCGCATGTGCTCCTGATGCTCAGACAACTGGCATCTGATCTCTGCTCAGCCTTCTCCATCTCAGTCCCATCTCTTCATCTCTGTCCCCATCTTCTTCATCTCTGTTCCCATCTTCTTCATCTCTATTCCTATCTCAGTGGAATATCTCCAGCTGAACAGCAGAGATTTGTTCACACATGCAGAGGCTCTGGCCCTCAAACAAGCTCAGTGGCTCAACTATTTGATGTAGTGCCAAGATGGAGCTGGGCTGGGCAGGTGGAATCTAAGATTTTGACACCTGGGCTGTTTCCTTGTGCGATTGGCCTAGAAAGGTCAAGAAGGGGAACAGTGGGGACAGGAGGCCATTGGTTATCAACTGGTAGCTATAGCAGATCCTCAGAGAAACAGAGCTGGCTGCAAGCATTGAGAGTGGGTGGGGCCCAGAGGACCTTCTCAGGTGCAGGCTGGGATCTCCCAGAGAGCTGCAAAACTATTTAGGCTGTCCTCCCAAGAGTGCTGTAATGGTCTGACTACAGGAGGTCATGGAACTCTGCAGAAGAGACAGAATGATGACCATTATCCTAAAGTTAGACCTGCCTTCCAATCACAGCCACTTGCTAGTGCTATGAACTCCAGCAAAGTACTCAACCTTCCTGGTCCTTATCTCAAGGCAACTAGCGGTGGTGTAGTAGTAATAAGGGAAGTGAATTGGCTGTTGTAGCAACATGGAGCTGGTGCAGGACACCTCCCGCCCTCCACTGAAGTATCTTAAGGGCATTCCGATGGTCAAGTACTTTGCAGAGGCAACAGAGACACTGCAAAACTTTCAGGCCTTTCCTGATGACCTGCTTGTGAGCACCTACCCAAAGTCTGGTAAGCCAGCAGGGCTCCTAGCCTAGCCTGTAGCCTCCATCCTGGCAGGCAGGACCAGGCCTAAGCCCTGCTCACCTCCCATTTCCCTATCCAGGCACCACCTGGGTCAGTGAGATACTGGATGTGATCTATCAGGGTGGTGACCTAGAGAAATGTCGGCGGGCCCCCATCTACATCCGGGTGCCCTTCCTTGAGTTCAAAAGCCCAGGTGTCCCCTCAGGTATGTGAGGGAGTACTGCGGAAAATAAAGTGGAAGGAGACAGGACCAGGCTCCCAACTACTAGTCCTTCCCCACTCACACTCAGGTCTTCAAGCTCTGGAAAATACACTGCCACCCCCCCACTCCTCAAGACACACTTGCCTGTGTCCCTGGTCCCTCAGAGCCTTTTGCATCAGAAAGTCAAGGTAAGAGGCAGGGCAGCTGCTGGGCCACCCCTGCCTTGGTCCTGTTCTGCTGGAAAGGTCTCAAGCTGTCTCATCAAGTGGGAAGTCACCAGCCTTTTACTGTTGTAGGGTTCAGATGACCAGAAAAGGGAGATTCTGTAGTGAGGACCCGAGAGAAGTGGATTAATTCAAGGTTTGTTTTGGCTCATGGTGTCAGTTCAGGGGGATTGAGTTTCTGGGTTGTGCTGAGACAACATCATGGTGGAAGGGCATAGTGGAGCAAAGTTGCTTACCTCATGGCAGTCAGGAAGTGGAAATAGGAAGGGGTCAGGACAAGATATCCTCTTGGTGACACGTAATTCGTACTCAAGCTTATTTTTAGCTTATTCCACCTCCCAGTAATGAAAATATGCATGGTGAGTGGATTAATCCCCAAATCAGGTCAGTCTTCATGATCCAATAACTCCACAGTGGTGACACCCAGCTAGAATCCAAGCATTCAACAGGAATCCTTTTGTGAACACTCCATATGTGAACAATGCCAGAATCAAGCACATTGCAAATCCCAATTCGCTGGTACCCAGACCATGAGGTCTCAACATGTCAGCCTCTAAGCCTGTTTCCTCCTGACACCCCAAGAGACAATTCCCTCACTGGGTCCCATGAAGGCAGACAGGAAAACAGGATGGTAGGAACCAGGACTGGGTGGGGCATGCCAAGCGATGGTGCTGGCCTGGGGATTGTCTGCCCCTGCAGGTGATCTATGTTGCCTGCAATCCTAAGGATGTGGCTGTCTCCTATTATAATTTCCACAACATGGCCAAGGTCCATCCTGATCCTGGCACCTGGGACAGCTTCCTGGAAAAGTTCATGGATGGGAAAGGTGGGTCTGACTCTGCAAGAAGGAGGGGGCTGGAGCTGAGGGGCACAGCTAGAGCTGTCATTAAGGCCTGTGTTGGTGCCCTTCCCCTTCCCCAGTGTCCTATGGGTCCTGGTACCAGCACGTCAAGGAGTGGTGGGAGCTGAGCCGCAGTCACCCTGTTCTTTACCTCTTCTATGAGGACATGAAGGAGGTGAGACAGCCTGCTACCACTTCTTTCTGTGTCACACCTGGTGGGCAGGAGGCACACATGGCCTCATCCAGACCCTTCCAGCCTATCCTGTCACAGCCCGACTCCAGACCTGCACAGCACAGCTCAGCAGAGGACTCTGCACAGCCCTTATCTCAGTGTGTGCATCAGCCACACATGCTGTTACTGATCCAGTTGCTGTTCTTGCTTCTTCCTGCCCCAGAAGTGCCAAACCTGGGCATTGGAGATGAAAGTTTATCCTTGCCCTCTCCCAGAAGGCACCCACAGGACATAGGCAGGATGCTGTTTTGCTCTAGGTCAACAGAACCATAGTCAGGACACTGGGAGTGAGAGTTCCTTAGTGGAAGTACTTAGTTTCCTGTCAGGTCACCAAGGGTGACCTCTCAGCTTTATTCTAATGAGCATCTAGACCTGCACTGAAGTATCTCTCTCTGGTCCAGAACCTCAAAAGGGAGATTAGGAAGATTCTTGGGTTTTTGGGGTGCTCCCTGCCAGAGGAGATTGTAGATCTCATCGAACAGCACACATCTTTCAAGAAGATGAAGGAGAACCCTATGACTAACTACACCACCTTACCCTCTCACCACATGGACCACAGTGCCTCCCCCTTTATGAGGAAAGGTGGGTCTTGGGCAGGGTGGATATTTGGGGAGATTGAAGCTAGCAGTTAGAGCCACTTGGGCCTCCTCTGAGATTCTAACTCCATCTGCCTCCATCCATCCCAGGCATCATTGGGGACTGGAAAAACACCTTCACTGTGGCCCAGAATGAGCGTTTTGATGCACATTATGCCAAGAAGATGGCAGGCTATGACCTCAACTTCCGCTGGCAGGTCTGAATAATGACATCAGTTATCACCCTGAGAACTGTTGACATAACTAGACTATGACCTTGAGAATAAAAAGCTACCACCTCTACTGGAAGTCAAGAGAAACCTAAGCCATAAGAATGAAAACAAAGAAAAATACTTTATTTTTATTTAAAAAAATATATATTTTAATGTGTATGCGTGTATTGCCTGCATGTAGGTAAGTGCACCCATATCGTGCAATGCCCATGGAGGACAGAAGAGGCTGTCAGATCCCCTGGAACTGGAGTTACGGACAGTTGTTAGCTGCCATGTGGGTGCTGGGATTCAAACCCCGGCCTTCTTCAAGAACAGCCAGTGTTCTTAACCACTGAGCCATCTCTCCAGCCCCGAAAAATATTTTTTATTAATTTTAAAAAGGTGCTGGAGAGGTAGCTCGGCAGTTAACAGCACTAGCTACTGTTCTTCCAGAGGACCCAGGTTCAATTTCCAGCATTCACAGGGTGGCTAACAATTGTCTGTAACTCCAATTTCAGGGGAGCTCATGCCCTCTTCTGGTCTCCATGGGCATTGCATGACAGGGGTACTGTTAACCCAAAGGCTCCTTGGAAAAGCTGGAGTTGATCCAGGGCTAGCCGGCAGGCGTTGTGGAGCACCCTGGGAAAAGGGTGGAGCCGCCCCCATATTGAGTACAGGCAAAGGGCTAGTGAGAAAGACTGCAGGAGGGAGGCTGATAGCGAGTGCATTTCAAATATGGAAAAGGAAAAGGGATCCGTGGTTTTGTAAGTCACCCCTGCCCAAATGTCATATAAACTGTGCAAAATCCAAATAGAGTGTCTTACATGGGTTTGTCAATCCATGTCAGGACCAGGAGACCCTAGAGTCCTCAGAGGGCACTCTCGGGTACCCCAGGGAGGGAAAAGGGAAAAATTTAGTGAAACAGGTACACTTACACACATGCAGGCAATACACTCATACACATAAAATAAAAAATAAAAAAATAATGACAAAATGCTGGGCATGGTGACCTATAATCCCAGCACTCAGGAGGCAGAGGCAGGCGGATCTCTGTGAGTTCAAGGCAGCCTGGTCTACATAGTTCCAGGCCAACTGGGGCTACAGGGAGACCCTGTCTCAAAAAGATCTAAATAAATAAATAAATATTTTTTAAGTCATAATAAATAAAATATTAAACAACAACAAAAGCCAGGCATAGTGGTACACGCTTGTAACCCCAGCACTTGAGAGGTGAGAGGCACGAAACTAGATGTTCAAGGTCATTCTTGGCTACAAAGCAAATTCAAGTCCAGCCTTGACTACATGCAACTATATGAAAAAGTCATTGGGGGGGCGGGGGTCTGGACCGATGGCTCAGTAGTTAAGAGCATGTACTGCTTTTCCAGAGGACCAGACTACAATACCCAGCACCCACGTTGGGTGACTACCACCACCTGTAATTCCAGCTCCAGGGAATCCAACACCTCTGAACTCTGTGGGCCCCAGTATTCATGTGCACATATATAAACACACCTGCATATACATACACATGGTTAAAAATAAAATAAATCTTTTTAAAAATCTGCCAGGATGTATGGTACACAATAAGAAATTTATGCCACCAGGCTCAGGGGGCGCATGCCTCCAGTACTAGGGAGGCAGGGGCAGGTGGGTCTCTGTGAGCTCCAGGCTAGCCAGGGCTAGAGATTAAGATCTTGTCTTTAAAAAAAAGTTCAAGGCCGCCAGGGTTACATAGTAAGGCATTACATAGCAAGACCCTGTCTCACAAACACCAAAAGAAACAAAAACAACAAAAATAAAAACAAAATAGCACTGGGATCATGGGCCCTCTCCTCACTGAAGAGTCATTGCCACACAGGGAAAATGGTCTAAGTAGCCAGGCCTGAGTTGTGGGTGGAAAGAATATACACCTGATCACAAAAAAACCCTTTGTTGCCCTGTTCCATGAAGATGTCAGTGGCATCTGGAGTCTACCTGCCAGACAGCTTTACCTTTTCTTGGGCTCCTTATCTCCAGGCCACACTGAGGACAGTAGCCAGAAAGTGACTGTGGTAGAAAGGCCAGTGACCACCATGACTTCCACCTCGACCTTCTTTCTCTGACTGGAAGTGAGAGGGGGTGGTCAGGAGCTCAGGGACGGAGCGGCTGAAAATGAAGGCGTAGCTATGCACTCCTATAGTCCCAAGTACTTCAGAGTCCGAGGTGGCAGGATCATTGGAGCTCATGAGTTCAAGACCAGTCATGAGAAAAAAATGACTGTCTCTAAACAGAAACAACAAAAAAGATGTGGGGCTCCTCACCCACATGGCGGAAGATGACTCCCCTGTGTTGTTCTTTGACCTCCACATCCATGCTGTGGATGGCCACATATATGCACTAAATAAATCACAGTAAATTTTGTTTAAAAATGTGTGTGGAGGGAGTGGGAAGACTGACACACCTCATTCCTCACTTAAAAAGAGCCCAGGCCCCAGATAGAATAGTCACTCCCGATCCTGGATGTCAGGAGGCTCAGTGTAACATCCCACTATCGATAAAAATCCCATAGTTAAGACTGATGGATGGACCATCTGAATAAACCTTAATTTTCTGCTCTAACACTGTCTCCTACTCTATTTTGAGTAACTATTTCCTCTGAATTGAAATATTTCCTCCTAAAGTAATGGGATACATATAATAAGGCAAAAGTTAGGATTAACTTAGGGGGAAGAAAGGGAACTAGGAGTGTGAGAGCTGCAGAGGAGAGTGTGGAAGTGGGCCAAGAGAGAAAAGTATAACAGCACAGCTACAAAGATGCATTATGAAATCCATGACTTGGTACCTAACCTAAAAAATTAATGAGGCTGGTCATGGTGGCACACACCTGTAATCCTAGCACTTGCCAGATGGAGGGTAGAGGATCTAGAGTTCAAAGCCATCCTCAGCTACAAAACATGTTTGCAGACAGCCTAGGCTACATGAGACCCTCTCAAAAATATCTCCCCTGAAGGCAAAACTGAAGTTCATAAGACTCAGAAACCTCATGAAACTTACCAGGCTCTCAGGAAGCCAACAAAGTTATACACTGCCCAAGGCCCCCGAAGTTTATTATATAAATACCAATTGCCAGGGAGAAGAGATTTTCAGGTAGACCTGACAGTAAGTTATGCAAGGAGCTCTAGGGATACAGGTTTCCCGAGTCAGCTGTGGAGCAGCTGCCTCCGTCGCCTAAGCTGCTATAAGAAGCCCCAATAAGCCGGGCATGGTGGCCCATGCCTTTAGTCCCAGCACTCAGGAGGCAGAGGCAGGTGGATCTCTGTGAGTTCGAGGCCAGCGTGGTCTCCATAGCGAATGTAGGCCAACTGTGGCTAAGGGAGACCCCGTCTCAAAAAGACCAAAACAAAGAAACCCCAATAAACTTGCTAGTTCACTAAACTAGAGTTGGGTGGAAGGTGTCCTGTGATGTTGAGCAGAGGGAGATGTGTCAGTTGCGGGAGCCCTTGGAGGCTGGGGGCCTTGGGGACCGTACAATCTCCAGGGAAGGCTTGCAAGCAGGTCGTGCAACGGTGGAGTCGTGTCCTGCACCTCCTACCCGGCAGGACAATGGGTCCACGTGGCGAGGGCCCTGGAGCTGGCGGATCCCCGCCTCTAACTCAGTACACACTCCGCCTCCAGGTCCCCCAGCAGCTTCTCATGAAGGTAGTCCGACCCTTAGGTGCCTTCGGGCACGGTTAGCCAATCAGAGTCGGACCTGGTCTGTGCGGCTAGGAAGCCCGGCTTGGTCGGACTCCCTACTCCAGTCCGGAGGGGGTGCACCGAGCTTCCTTTCTGTGTGTTCGGGGCTCAGACGCTCGCATCTCGCAGCCCTGGCCACCCGGCCCTTACTACAAAGTCTGGAGAGCCCCTACAGGTGGTGACCTGACCTTCTTTGGTCTACACCTGCCCCAGTGCCTGAACCCTCTGCCTTGGAGTCGGGTCTACCGGACACGCTGTCAAAAGTCAGGGCCTCCAGGAGCAGGGAGTTAGAGGGAGATGCCCTGGTTAGAGGGCACACATGTGTTAGAATTGGAAGTAGGCTTCCTGGAGGAGCAGGACCCATGGTGAGCCCCAGCTGGCCTGGAACTCACTAGGGAGACCAGGCTGACCTTGAACTCACAGAGATCCACCTGCCTCTGCCTCCCAAGTGCTGGGACTACAGGTGTGTGCCACCATGCCTGGCAATGGCTCAGTTGTTAAGAGTGCTTGCCTAGCATGTATGACAGTGGGAGAATCAGAAGTTCAAAGACATTTTGTCCACTTAGTGAGTTCAAGGCCAGCCTGGGCTATCCGAGATACTGCCTCTCATGCTTCAGTGGTCAATTGATATACCTGGGAACCTCAATTGGGGAATTATCTTTATCAGACTGGCCTGTGGGCATATTTGAGATTGTGAGTGATATGGGAGGGCTGAGTCCACTATGGGTGGTATCCCTCGGGGCAGGTGGTCCTGGGTTGTATAAGAAAGAAGGCTGAGCAGTTGGAGAGGTGGTTCAGTGGTTAGTCACGCTGGCTGCTCTTACAGAGGACCCAGGTTTGATTCCCAGCACCCACATGGCAGCTAACAACTGTCTGTAACTCCAGTTCCAGGGGATCCAGCACCCTCTTCCGACTTCCACAGGCATTGTACAACACGGGTGCCCTTACATCATGCAGGCAGTATGCTCATACACATAAAATAAAATGAAAATCATAAAGAAAAGAAAGGCTGAACACAGGCCAGAGTAAGCCAGTAAGCAGTGTTTCTCCATGGTTTCTGCTTCAGTTCCTGCCTCCAGGTTTCTGCTTGACTTCCTTCAAAGATGGTCTGTGCCTTGTAAGTATAAGGTGAAATAACACCTTTCCTCACCAAGTTGCTTTTGATTGTGGTGTTTTATCACAGCATCAGACAGCAAACTAGAACACTGCCAAAAAACAAAAACAAAAAACAAAAACTGCAAAACTAAACAATAAAGAAAAAAGGGCTTGTCAGGTAACTGTCCTCATGAGAAAGTCTTTTCTTAAAAGAAGAGCATAGCCAGGCGTGATAGCACATACCTTTGATCCCAGAACAGGCATATCTCTGTGAGATGGAGGACAGTATGTCTACACAGGGAATTCCAGACCATCTAGG